CCCAAAAGTCCAAGCGGATCAAAGATACGTGCTATGACGCTAAGCACATCTCTCTTTGTATTGGTTTCTTGCCCTTTTAACGAAGTGAGTTGAAACCGGAATTCATCTGTTCTGGCATTCCAGATGACACCCAACGTTTTTGTAGTCTCGTCAGTGTCGGTAAATCTGTGCTCTACGACATCAGTTGACTCGTCTAACTCAACTGCATTGGATCTCCACTTATGTAACTCCATGCCACAAGATCTTAGAAGACCAGACAACTCAGATTTAAGACGCACAGCTGTAAGTACGTTGTCCACTCCACTGACCACATCATCCATGTAACTATCCCTCTCGAGAACCTCGGCCGCAAGAGGAAATCTTTCAGACTCATCTTTGGCTGCCTGGAGGATTGTTCGAGTGGCCAAAAAAGGAGCTGAAGTTGTGCCGTATGTTACGGTTTTCAATCGGTACGTTTTGCAAGGTTGATACTCGCTTGTTTTCCAAAGGAGGCGAAGAAGGTTTCTTTGGGAAGGCTCAACTAATATTTGACGGAACATTTTTTGAATATCTGTCGTGAACACAATGTGATGTTTACGGAAACGCACCAAAATGTCAAAAATGTCCTCGTTTACCTGTCCTTTCATTTGTAGATCATTTAAGCTTACACCAGTTGAAGTAGGTGCAGAGGCGTTGAAGACTACTCTGAGAGGAGTTGTAGACTTTTCAGGGCGGTAGACTCCATGATGCTGCAGATAGCAGTGAGGATAATTGCTTTTATCCTCTGGATCTTGATCATCCTCTGCTTCTACGGGCTCCATGTGACCCATGTCTAGGTATTCTTGCATGAATTTAATATAATGACTCCTCATAGTGTCATTTTTAGAAAGCCGTCTCCAAAGCTGATTAAGTTTTTGCTCTGCTAAATGTTTGGATTCTCCCAGCTTATGGAGATCTTTGATTGGCATTTGAACTATGTATCTACCAGTGTCGTCTCTCTTGTGCGTATTTTGATAATGCAGCTCGCATAAATTATCTTCTAGGCTCATGTAATTGAGCTCTTTTGAGCTTAAGCACTCCTCAACTTCCCAAAACTTTCTCAGGGTTTGCTCTAAAGTGTTAGTAGATTGGCTGATTAACCCACAGAAGTCTTTAGCTTTATCCTGACTATTTGTACATATTGCTCCCGTAAAGATAAACCCAAAAACAGAATTTCTCAAAACTATTTCAGTACCTGGTATGTTAATATCGCCTGCCCTCATAATTTCAAAAAATGCTTCCGCTCCTATGAGCATGTCTATGTTAGCTGAATTTGCGAAAATATTAGGTTCTGCTAAATGTATGTTTTTAGGTAACTCAAATTTCTTTAATGATAATGGTGCCGTTGGAATAAAATCTGTTATCTTTTTCACAACTAAGAAATCTAATGTTTTAAAATAAGTCCCATCCCTGTTAGTAATATCAGCCTGTAATTTCCCTTTTACAGCAGTTTTATTGTTACCTAACCCTGCAATGGGGTTGTTTATTTTTCGCAATGGGACCTCTAATGCATTAGCAAGCACTTCGGTTAAAACGTTAGAAGTTGAACCACTATCTAAAATACACCTAGCTTTAATAAGAGAACGAGTTTTGGAACTCCTACTAAATACCTCACATGTTGGCAAAATACCACTTTTATTTGAATAACGAGTATTTTTATTTATTAGCGATAAAGTTTGAGCATTAAATTCAGCAGC